TGTGTGTGTGTGTCAGCCGGAGTATAAGCTGGCCGATCCCATTTGTACATACCTGTTCTCCATACTGGTGCTGTTCAGCACAATCCAGATCATCAGAGACACCGGCATCATTCTGCTGGAGGGTGAGACACCTGATCGTCCGTCCTTCCGTCTGTCTTACCTGTCTGTCTTACCTGTCTGTCCGTCTGTCTCTCGGAGTGTAATGTCAGTCCGGAACAGTGACGGAGTGTGTGTGTTGCAGGTGTTCCGCGTCATGTGGACGTGTCTGGAATCAGAGCTGATCTGCTGAAGCTGCAGCATGTGGAGTGTGTGGAGGAGCTGAAGCTCTGGGCGCTGACGGCTGATAAAACCGCAGCCATCGTTCACCTGCAGCTCGGTGAGTCGCTGATCGCAAACAATAACGGCAGAATCATGACACTAAAAAAAAGTCCTTACACAAGTATTCAAGCCGCTTTTAACTAGTTGATAAACTCATGCTCAACTGTTTAATGAATTCTTCTACTTTTTTGATATAAACAGTGTTGGGACTTACGTAATCAGATTACTTTTTCAAGTTTCAGAATCAGAAATACTTTATTAATCCCCGGAAGGAAATTGGGTTCGTTACCACAGCTCCAAGTCACCAAAATAAGAATACAAAATAGAATTCTATATAAAAGCAATAAGAATAAAACTTCTAAAATATAAATGAAGTAGTAACTAGTAAATGTTTACATGTACTTGTAAATTTACAGCAAAATATTTGAGATGCTCTTTTAAATAAGTAACGCCATTTACTTTATTTTCCCATTTCTTGACTGACAGCTCTCCTGTCTGTGTTGAGAGATTTTGGGAGTGAGGAGCAGAGGCGTTTCCTCCAGCCTGAGATTATTAATTTCACTTTTGGTGTGAAAGGGCCTGTACAGTCGCCAAAAATATAACTTTTGAGTTTTTTGTTATAAAAAACAAACAAGCAAGCCCAGCTCAGGTGACAAATAGTAATGCAAAAGTAACTTTCCATAAAAAGTAACTAATGCAATTAGCTACTTTTTTATGGCGTAATGCAGTATTGTAATGCATTACTTTTAAACATAACTTTCCCCAACACTGTATATACGTATAGTTTCTGTGCATAACGGCAGGTTGTATAACACTACTGAGATCAGTTACCATCATGATAGTGGACTAATGTTTTGCATCTGCCTCTGCTGTGTGTTTAGCGCCGGGGATTGTGGGTAACTGGGAGGATGTGCAGTCAAATGCGCGGCGGCTGCTGACGACGTCACACGGCGTGACACACTGCACGGTGCAGCTGCAGACGCACAGACAGGGGGCGCCACAGTCCTGCACACACTGCCTCACACCCAGTGCCTGAACACCGTCTGTCTCTCGCTGTCTCACACACACACACACACACACACACACACTGACACACACTGACACACACGCACACACTCACTCACACACTCCACACACACACACACACACACACGCACACAGAGGATGAGAGAGAGAGAGAGACGGGGGACCCAGCAGGGTTTTAATGATTGTCTAGCAGCTTTTTCTAAAATGAATATTGACCTCATTTTGATAAACCTTTAATACTGTCGTGCACAGAGGAGAGGACCAGACCCGTTTGATTTGCGTTTGTTTTGGGAGCCGTCTGTCACTGAGGAGCGCCGACAGATGGAGGGTCGCTTGTGTTTGTGCGTCTTGTGTGTTTTGCGTGAATCTCATGAAAACATGTCCAGGTTGCATAACAGTGACAACATTAGAAGAAAAAGAAACATGTACTTGTTTTGCTTGAGCTGAATGAAGCCTACTGTTTTTTTTTTTTTGTTTGTTTTTTTGAAGCTTGACAGTATTTTAATCACAGTTAATTTTCAATAATGTAATGCTTTTGGATTTACGTCCGAAGGGTTTTGATTCTCATTACTGTAATTTTATTAAAATCTGCATGAATAAAAGGCAGTGCAACACATACATGATGTAGAAATACTTAACAAATTAATATTTCATTTTTCACGTTAAAGTGGGAAGGTGTTTAAGTTTGCATGAAAATATGCCACGTGCAAAAAGCAGGCTTTATTTGATATATCTTGTGAAATATGAGATTCACAGTCCGAGATCTGCACTGAAATCAGCTAAACGTGTGTGTCCTCAAAACAATAAATATTGCACATTTGCAGAATTCCTCATTTAGTTACTGACAATCATAGTTTGACGGGACAGACTGTAGTTTTGTGCATTTCAGACATTTATAATCATTGTGTGCCAACATGATCAATTCACTCAGAACAAAATGACACGAAATGTCTTTTTATTTTTATTTAATTTTTTTTGTGCTTCAAGATGCAGATTGAATATGATTATTATTTAACTGTCAATGACTGTTATCAGTATTTGGCCGTTATGCCTTTTTATTATTTTTATGGTTTTGTTTTTTTGTTTTATGTTTTTGATTTTGGAAACACAATGTCAGTGGTTTGCATCAGAGTGAAGGTTCGTTCAGTGGTTTGGGTATTTGTTTTATGTGGGTCTGTGTGTCTGAGGGCATCATGATCGATTTACACTGACTGCTGAAGCGCTTGAAATAACTTGAAATAAATACATTTTAAATGCCTATATTCGCCTTTCATTTGTGTTTTGTCTGGGTTCATGTTTCGGCTGGTTAGACTGCATCATTTTGTCTTTATTTTTCTTAATTGGTGAAATTATAAAGTTTGGGCAAATCTTAGAAATGCACAGATGATGAGGGTCTTATGTGTGTGTGTCCTGTTTGCTCTTGAATGATGTTTTCATGTTGTTTTGTGATTTGATGACATCACTGTGAGGTGTGCTGCCGTCTCTTAGGAACAGACGTGTGAATGCTGCTGTTGCTAGGCAATGATCTGTATGGACAGTGACTTACAGTTTCAGTTTAAGTTCTCCTCTCGAGGACACAAAGAAAGAGCCGGATGAGATTTTACTCTTAGAGTGGGATGAGAATCAGACAGGAAGTGTTCTGAAGATTAAAATTAAAGGTTCATCAAAGTTCATCAAAAATTGTAAATATCCTCACTCTCAGGCCATCCAAGATCAGGATGAGTTTGTTTCTTCATCATGATGTAATAATACATTTCTCCAAATCTGATCCTAATCTCGGATGGCCTAAGGTGCAGCTTTTATTTTTTGGATGAAGTACTCGTGACTAATCATTAATGTCACATTTAAAATGTGACTAGATTTTAAAAACTTTTGAAGGGGTGCTACAAAGCTGAAGGCTGATGAAATATAGCAGCTAAAACTCTTTTTCTTGTGCGTTCATCTTCATGCTACAGTTATGGACGCGTGACGGTTAGTCGTTAGCTGTCAGTCTCCAATTGTTTAGTTCTGTTCTTTGTCAAGCACTTCCTGATCACATGATGGGCGACATCAGCACAAAACACTGAGTCACGTGTACACACACACACACACACACACACACAGGACATGACAGACAAGTCATTACCAGTAATAAACAGGCTTACACATGTGGCTGGAGAATGTGGGCTGATGGGAATGTTCATGATGCAGTAGATTTCATGAGGGTGTGTTTGTGTTTCTAACACAATATGAGCTGCGTTAATAGCACACACACACTCATACAGACACACACACACACACACACACACACACACACACACACACACACACACACACACACACACACTCACTCACTCTCACTCACTCACTCACTCACACACACACCTCACACACTCATCAGCCTCTCTGTGTGAAGATCTGTGCTCTGAATGAAAGCAGCTTCTTCAGGTCAGAGCTCAACGATTGTTTCTCAAACATGAAGACGGAAGCAGGAAGCACCGAGTCGTTTGGAGACCTCAGCAGCACTTCCTCTTCAGTTAAATTACAAATAATGACTCAGTGAACTGTCAGCAGGCTTGATTTATTCTCTTGTTGTTCTATCTGAAACCTCTTGAGATTAACTCATCTGCAAATGAACGTATCCAACAAGACTTCACAAAGGAAAGACGGATTCATTTTTAATCCATAGCATACATTTATTTAAGTTCATATCCAGCACACAAGTGATTTTCACTCTTAAAGGCACAGTGCATGTTTAAAGTACAATCCAGTGCATGCAAACACAGAGTTCAGATCCCGATTAAATTAACACGGAAATTCAGAAGAGAGAGCCAGAGGAGATCATTTGGTCAGTTTCTTCACCAGCTCCAGCTCCTCCACTGGTTTCCACTGCTGGTTAATAGTTATGAGCTGAACGGAGACACAAACCACCTGTTAATGCTCCTCTGGGCTTTATCTGAGCTTTAGTCAACATGAAATTCACAGAGCATCTCCACATGTCTCAAAGGTCATGTATTTTAACTCGATCCTTATCTTATATGTTATTGCTGTTTACAATCTACATTTATGCAGCCTAAAATAATGATTAAACAAATATTTGACAGCTGGTTACATTATCATAACCCATCAGTCTATGAATGAAGAGCGTTTCTTACCTTCTGTGGTGTTGACGGATCTAATGTCTCCCATGGCTCTGGGTTTCTGGTCTTGTTTAAACTATAAAAGTCCAGAGATTTTATCAGTGCACAGCTTTTATAATATTATACGTTAAATATTAACTTTTCAATTACATATCAGACTTGCTCAGGCACTTTCATTATGTGTGTTACATTTAAAACTTTAATTTTCTCAACAATAACTAGTAAAACACAGTTCAGAATCACAAATAATAACGAATACAGGAAAGAGATTGCTTATTATTAACCACATAAATAACTTAAATCTCATCATTAAACCTGTAATAAAGCTAAGTTTCTCACATGACATCTGGTTTGGTCAGTAAGAAGTAAATCGAGGCTGCTGCTGCTCCAAGTGCAGCACATCCGACAAACCCAATCAGAGGAATCAACTAGAAACATGAAAAGTAAAAACTAAATGAAACAGTATTATCCACAGCAAGCTGATGCTGATGCTGATGAGAAGTCTTCCTCACCTCCTTCCTCTTCTTGAGCATTTGTAGAAATCCTCCATGCATCTTTCAGCTGCTACAATGTTTCCTAAAAAACTAAATTCAAAACGATTCCATTTAGAATGTTCCAGTGAGACACAGTTTGAGAGTCAAATAAACATCAAACATGAGTAAAAGAGTCGTGATGAGGAAGATGATGAAGATGAGGATGAGAGAGAACAGACCTGCTGAAGTTGCGCTGTAGATGCAGCATCATTCTGACTGTGTCGCTCTTATAACGCAAAGGAGACGCGTTTAATGGCACGTACACACACACACACACACACACACACACACACACACACACACACACACACATCACCATCACGCGCTGCACCTTCAAACTGAAACTATGAGCGCATCTGTGCCTTTAGCGCCGTCTGCTGGACTCAATCACAATCTGACACCAATTAAAACTCGATACATTCTTATAGTGACTAGGTCTATGCACAACACATACACACTATAACAAGTGCATTATATATATTATATATGCATATCCAAGCAAACGCGACGTTTCAGCGTAGAAGCGCGTCTAACAATGACTTCCACTGATGCTGCGTCGTGAAGGTCGTCACGAATCATAACAATGTTTCTGTTTAGGGGCCTCAGGCCAAAATAAAGTGACAGCTGACGTGATGACGTAAAGCCAGAAGTTGTGTTTGTCCTTCGAAAGACTTTAGCTTATAGTGGGACTGTGTGTGAATCATGATGCTGTATTATTCTGAAAATGTATTATACAGTAGAATTTACGGTGAACGAGAAGTGCAAAGCAAATCACAATTCTGAAAACAAAATAACAAATTACAAACGCAAATGAAAGTCTAAAAAACAAAATAACAATCCAGAAAGCACGACAACAATTCAGAAAACATTATAACAAGTCAGAAAACACAATGACAAATTCGAAAACAAAATAACAATTCAGAAAACACAACGACAAATCAGACAAACCAGAAGAGGTAGGTATAGTTTGAGACAGTGCCATTGGTTTGGGATTACTCACCGCTGACTGGAGGGAGGAAAAAAAAGTTCGGCAAAAGGTGGGATTGAACCCGGGTCAATCGCGTCACAATGCCAATGACACACGCTTATCCATCTGCGCCACTGGAACTGAATTGTTGTGCTTTCTGATTTGTTATTTTGTTTTTTAGACTTGCATTTGCGTTTGTAATTTGTTATTTTGTTTTCAGAATTGTGATTTGCTTTGCACTTCTCGGTCACCGTAAGAATTTAACCCATTTAATGCCACCGATAAAGCTCTAAAAACCTTACTGACTGATGTTTTAGTGCACTTCCTGCAAATATGGAAAAAAAATAAAGGGTCTCAATGAAATTGGAAGGAATTACTTCCTTCCATTTTGGTACACATTATCTTCAAGGTGTCTAGTATTAATATATGAATACACATTCAGTTTTGTTGAGTGTGGTCATTGAATGAGTAAACATGTTGATGGTCACAATAGTGACCGTGGGATAACAGTGAACTTAAGTTTACAATATAAATCCAATTGCAGTTGCTAGTGAAAATTACACTAAAAATGTTGCAATGACAAAATATTGCACTAAATTAAATTCAAACATTACACAAATTTTATAATTTGTAATACTGGTAGCACTAATATAAAAATTTGATGTTATAATTTTACAAAAAAAAAAGGAATAATTTGGAATGAGTTGGTTGAATTTTTTTTTTTTTTTTTTTTTTTTAATCTCCTGCAAATATGGGAAAAACTAAAGGGTCTCAATTAAATAAGTGTTGTATAAGGGTTTTATGCATAAAAAAACCTTAGAATGTGACCAATCTAATAACTGGGCTAAGATATGACAATTTTGATGACTGCAGAAATGTTAATTCAGTATACAAACACCGGTCACAATTGTGACCGACCATAAAACACAATAAAAAAAAAAATAATTATATATATATATTGATTATTTTACTAATGACACATCATTTGGATATATTCATGTCTGGGAAAAATTTGGGATTAAGCGGGTTAAGGTCCTTGCACATGCAGTGCCAAGTTTTCGTATGCATTTTTTTCTTCTCCATTTTTTCGTATACGTCATCCTTTCCTCTCAAAATGCATGCAACGGTTTCGAAAAGTGCAGAAAATCGAACCCGATCCCAAAAAATTTATGACGGACGAAAGTTTCGGAGGCAATGTGTAAACGTAAAATTAATTTTTTAACGTGTGAAAATTTCGGACGAGAGGCAAGGACCTTAGAATTAGTCACTGTCGGGTGGAAACCATGTCCAAAACCGCTATGATTTAAAAAAAATAATGAAACACTGTCTTGTCAGAGTTGATATTATCCTGGACTCCATTTGTGGGCGTTTTCAAACTGGTGGGTGTTTCTAAATCATGCAATGAATACAATGCCCCTTTCCTGACCCCACCCCTAAACACAACACGTCACTCTGACGCGAGCAAATCAGGTAAGACGGTCGAAAATATATACATATATATGGTCGAAAACACCATAGATATGTATAGAATCCCCATTCGACCGCTCCAGGCATCTTTCGAATATTCAGTGATTACTATGGTGAATGACGTCAAGTTGACCGTTCCAAGATGGCGGACGGCTTACATATAGCGGCCCATAGAAACAGTCGCTAATGAGGCATCTACATATATATATATCTATGGAAAACACCCGAGTTATGGCCCTGCCCACTGATCCGGAAACTCCCATTACAGTGTTGCCAATTTAGCAATTTTGTTGCTAAATTTAGCAACTTTTCAGACTACCCTAGCAACTTTTTCTTCCAAAAGCACCTAGCAACAAATGTAGCTATTTTAAAAATTTATTTGGCGACTTTTGTTAAGTGACTCAAACGATAAAAAGGCACATATTTTCCATCTGAATAACACAAAAGGAGGAAACCAAAAATGCCTAGCAGTACAATAATCACATGAATGAAGTTAGCTGCTACTTGCAATTGTTCAATTTAATAATAATAATAATAATAATAAGTAATTGTTCATGTATGATACACCTTGTTAGCTTGTACCTGTGATTGTTGATCAGTTACTACACTGTAATAAAAATATCTAGAAAAATGGAAAAGATACTAGTAATTTTCCAAGACATATCCATTATCCATTGTAACCCGAAAACACAAAATACAATGCATAATTTAAAATGCAGGTGAAAAATCAATATGGAAAATTCCTTCACATTAACGTAGTAGATTATGCCCTACTTTACAGACTCTTCTTTCTCTTCTTGTAGCATACTAACTAACTACTGATACACAGCTTAAAAGTATAATTGTTCAGAATGTAGTTTTACTAGTTTACTAGATAATAAAAAAAAAACTTAAATTGTTGAAAAATGTGTGTGTTCAATAATTCAATATTGAAGTTATTTATATTTTAATATTATAGTATGTATTTATATCATTTTACGAACAAATATAAATGAACATATATAAAATATATTTTTGCTGAGATTCGATGCTGCGACACAATTTTGCGTAGTGACGTCAGCGTGCAATGGCATCCCAACGTCATTATTGTTTAGCTGTACTTTAGAAGAAGCGCGAATTTCAAAAAGGCGCGCCAGTTTCAGATTTTGACGGTTGGTCTGAGGGGAGTCTTCACGGTTTATCGAGCCGCCAGCTTCATTCCAGTGAGATGAAAACGACGACAGAAACCTTCTATTTTCAACTTTACTCAGGTATTTCACGGTTCTGGTAATTTAATCAGCATTTACCTGCGATCTGGGTTTGTTGAAAACATTTATTTCTAATATTAACTCTGAGACCCAAATGTGATAGATTAGTCCTCTGTAGGGGATATAATGTTTAGCACTTGTCTCTATATAGACTAATGGTCAATTTCTGTGAGATTATACATTGTTTAAAACTGTAAAGAGGACATTGTGGCTTTTTATTTATTATTTCAACACTATACTAATGCCGAGTCACTTTAAGGTTTCCATCTGAGGTTATAAAGTTATGTATTACAATAAGCAAAAGCCATTTGTAGTTCAATTTTATTATAATTAATTACTTTTGAATAAATTTCCAATTAGGTCCAGTTAATTTTCAGTTTTTGTTTATAGCACATGTTGTTCCTCAGTAGCTTTACAGAGAACAGAGCTTTACAAACACTTAAGAGAAGCCAAAGTCGACTGGGGCCAGTAAAAAATGCTATTTTTGGACCAAGAATGAGGTTTTGAGTTCAGAATGTTACAGTATGTTTTTCTCATCGCATATCCTTTAATATGAACACAACTGATATTTTTGTGCTTCACCTTTTACTTGCAGATTGAAGAGTGTGTGAAACAAGACATTTGTACACAAATTATAAACATTTTTATTGTATATATTTTTAATAGAGGCTTGAGTGAAAGCGTTGCTGAAGCTGTTGAGGACTCAGTGATGGACTCAAACTCTGAAGCGCCTTGAGAAAATACTTCTGCCTCACGCAGGGAACCTCGAGTCCGTCCTCGCGCAGAGCCAGAAGAGCCGCCTGAGACACACAGAAGAGTCCAGCTCAACAGAACAGAAGGAAATGAAGGAATGCCGTGAGGTGAGTGTGTGTTTACCTCTCTGCACAGGTTTTCTAGATCAGCTCCAGAGAAGAGCTCAGTTTGAGCAGCCAGATCCTGCAGACACACGTCCCGATGCAGCGGGACGCTTTCAGTGCAGATGCGCAGCACGGCCAGACGAGCCTGTTAATGAGAACGCATGAGAACACCTGCTGCACACCATACCATTTAAAGTCAGTGTGAAATCACAACTGACCTATCGGTAAGCCCCGCCCCCCTTAGTTACTGTTGCTCCCTCGGACAAACAAACGGAGCTGCTCACTGTCTCGCAATGAGAGCGGTCAGTGTGAAAACCTTGTCCCTATATCTTTTTTGATACATTTTGGACACAGAAGCACCACCATTCAAGTGGGACTTAAACATGCCGTGGAGAGATATATAAAAGATTTTAAAATAAATATTGTGGGTGTTAATTTGGAAGCGAGGGTTTACGGATCACAATGCAAGCGGGAGAAGCCTCATGTTACGTTCGTCACGATTGCAGATAACAACATCCTGGATCAACACTTCATGTATCGCAGGGTACGATTAAATTAATTTACATTTAACCGGTTTAATATGAAGAGACCGTGAAATGTAGACCTTCGTTCATGTGTTTTTGCCCTACACTGTACAAGACGCGAGAACAGTCCGCTATTTAGGTTTGTATGGACTCACTAACTTTAACGTTAGCTAGTTTTAGCCAGAGACACCTTGCTGAAGCACAAGATGACATCATTAACGTTCTGCTTGAGCAGATGAAAATTGTAACTTAACGAGTGTATGATAACCAGAAAACTAACGTTTTTGTCTTCATTGGGATTGGGGGGGGATGCTTTGGGACATTTTGCTCTGTTTTGTTTGGGTTTAGGAAATAGAATAAAATAAATTCCATTGCCCATCCTCTCAGGATAGCTGGAATCAGTGTTACAAGTACCCCAGGCACATCGTTTTTCCATTTTTGTAGCCTAAACACCATAAAATCGATGCGAGCTTCGGATCTTCCAATGTTTCTCTATGGCGCCGAAACCTAAAGATGTCCGAGTTCCGCTCACTGTGCAACTGATACTCGACTGCCATTGGCTCACCTGCGTTCGAGGGGAGGGGCTTACCGATAGGTCAACTGACCCTGTTAATTTTCTTAATGCATGTTACTCATCTTACTGTGAACAGTTCATCCATACATTAATGTTGAAGCATACACACTACCAGCCAAGTTTTTGAACAGTACAATTTTTAATGTTTTTTGAAGAAGTCTCTTCTGCTCACCAGGCCTGCATTTATTTGATCCAAAGTATACAGCAAAAACAGTAACATTTTGAAATATTTTTACTATTTAAAATAACTGTTTTCTATTTGAATATATTTTAAAATGTAATTTATTCCTGTGATTTCAAAGCTGTATTTTCAGCATCATTACTCCAGTCTTCAGTGTCTCATGATCTTCAGAAATCATTCTAATATGCTGATTTGCTGCTCAAAAAACATTTATTATTATTATGTTGAAAACAGCCGAGTAGAATTTTTCAGGTTTCTTTGATGAACAGAAAGTTTAGAAGAGCAGCGTTTATCTGAAATATAATTTTTTTGTAACATTATAAATGTCTTTATCATCACTTTTGATCAATTTAAAGCATCCTTGCTAAATAAAAGTATAAATTTCTATAATTTCTTTCCCAAAAAAATAAAATAAAAAAATTATACTGACTCCAAGCTTTTGAATGGTATAGTGTATATAATAATGTTACAAAAGCTTTTCAGATAAATCCTGATCTTTGGATCTTTCTATTCATCAAAGAATCCTACAAAAAAAAACTGTACTTAAATATTGATAATAATCAGAAATGTTTCTTGAGACTTTAAATCAGCAAAACAGGTGTGGCTTATTTTTTGAGGAAGATGGTGTGGCGGGGTTTGAAAAGAGATGATTAGATCTCATCTGACGTTAGGACTGTCTGCTCACCTCAAGATCTGGAGGTGGAACGTATATGATCTGGTCGAGTCGGCCGGGTCTGAGCAGAGCACTGTCCAGAACCTCTGGTCTATTAGTGGCAGCCACGATTAAAACATCCTTATTACACACTTCCTGGAGTTCCATCTGAAACACAAGTCACACAGAGTTAGTGTTAATAGCACTGTAAAAACCACTCTTGCATTACAGCTCAATACATGCACATATGTGACCCTGGACCACAAAACCAGTCTTAAGTGTCAATTTTTCAAAACTGAGATTTATGCAATAAATAAGCTTTCCATTGATGTATGGTTTGTTAGGATAGGACAATATTTGGCCGAGATACAACTATTTGAAAATCTGGAATCTGAGGGTGCAAAGAAATCTAAATATTGAGAAAATCATTTTAAAGTTGTCCAAATGAAGTTCTTAGCAATGCATATTACTAATCAAAAATTAAGTTTTGATATATTTACGGTAGGACATTTACTAAATATCTTCATGGAACATGATCTTTACTTAATATCCTAATGATTTTTGGCATAAAAGAGAAATGTATAATTTTGACCCATACAATGTATTGTTGGCTATTGCTACAAATATACCCCAGCGACTTAACACTGCTTTTGTGCTCCAGGCTCACAGATGTGAATCTTACAAAGAACATGTTCAGGTCTTAATCCACTATGGGATCAAAAGAAAATTTTCCATAAAGAAAATTAAGCCCATTTTTATAGTCATTAAGATAATTTGTATTGTAACATTTTACTGGAAAAAAAAAATTGGTGTTTAAGCAATTTTCACTCAGAAATTGCTAGCAAATTTCAGTTACAAATTAACAGCAAGTAACACACTGAATTAAAAGAGAACTTTAAACTTAAAACTTTTTGAAAATAATTTTTATTGTACCTTGAATGCAGCATAAGTTGCTGTAAATAAATCTGCCAAATGCATAAAAATATATATATATAAAAAATAATTCTCAGGACTGTAATGCATCCTGATGTTTTACTTTGCGTGTAATTCCTATTACTCTCAATGCTGAGTGTAATACGATAAAAAAAAGTCCCATCCGAACACTGATTTTTTTCTTTAAAATGTAGATTTTATAAATCGCTTTTTTGAAAATAATGCATCTGCTAAATGCATAACTGTAACTAAATCAGCATGAATTGAAGACAGCACAACAGAAAGCAAAATATATTTCTTGTTCCTTTGAGTTTGGGACGAAATACGATCAGAGACAAGTTTCTCAGTGAAGCTATGTGTCTCTGACCTGCTGTAGTCTGGTGTCCTCCTGCTCTCCTCCTTCTAACTGAGCCATCTTTCTCCCGGTGCTGCGTCTCTCCACAGTCCGGATTCCCACTCCATCCAGCTCGGTCAGCAGAACCGACAGAACCTGCGACTGCACGCCGTGAGAGGAACCGTCCGCTCGAGAGCCCACCATGCTGTCGATCTCATCCAGGAACACGAGGGAGGGAGCGCACGCACGAGCTTGAGCGAACAACTGAGAGACAGACGGAGAGACTGAGCTTATTGGTCTGAAGGTTTGAGGTTCCAGAGCCGCTGGGATGCATCAGCTAAATGATGTGCCTTGGAGAAAATAGTGTAGTTTTAGGTGTTAAGTGCTCACTAAATAACAGATGGCTATCATGCAATTAACTTGTGATTATGTAAGGTGCCAATTAATTAATCACAAGTTAATTGCACATAAACTTTGGCTGAGAAATCACCCCCCAAAAGTTAATTTGAAGTCATTATTACAATTTACAAATTAAATAGAAAACACCAACAAAAAAGTAGCTTTAGAAGTAAATATTTTGATTCAACATTGCATAGATAATCATAAAAAAAATGAAACTAAAGAGAGAGACCAAACTGTCTTAATGAGTCATTCATTCAGCCGATTCTTTCATAAATGTAGCAAGTGACTTTCTTTATGAAAGAATCACTGAATCATTGACTCACTCGATTCATTCAAAACCGTGGATTTATTCAGTTACGAATCACTGCTGTGTGTTGATCAGACATGCTCAGTTGAACTATTTTTTGAGCAAAACACAATAGGGTGACTAAAATGTAACACAATATGATCTTGTTTATCGAACTGATGTATAAATTCAATATCACATTTGCAGATACTGGGGAAAAACGGCACTCTTGCTGGTGTGATACTGCTAAACTACATCATATAATGTAACAAAGAATTTTAGGCTCATATAACTGCATTCTAATAGACTCAGTCATCCTGCTTCATGTTCATCATACACTGCATCACTGTAAGATGAGGGACAGGTCTGGACGGGGCGACTGCATTACATTTTAACATTATTTTTTTGCACCAAATGAACATGTTAAATCAACGGCTCTAAACAGAAGCACTGAATCAGAGGATGTCAGACCTGCGCCAGTGTTTTCTCAGAGTCTCCCACATACGGAGAGAAGAGCTCGGCCCCGCTGAGGGAGAGGAAGGTGCAGTGTGATGAAGATGCTGCTGCTTTCACCAGCGTGGTCTTAGCGCAGCCGGGTGGCCCGGACAGCAGCACTCCTCTGGGCCGAGAAACACCCAACCGCACGAACGCCTCTGGAAACCTCATGGGCCACTCGATACTCTGAGCACAAACATCAGACAGTACGCGTTTCGTCATTACATTGAAGCAAAGTCATGCAAATCGTCCTGAACTAAGGTTGCCAGCAAGGCTTGACATTAACTTTTTTTGCTCACCAGCCACTGTGGCTAGTGGTTTTCCAAATTTACTAGCCACCGGCCACAATTTTGTTGTTGGGAAATTACGTTTTATATGACTCGAGTTGCTGCATACTTTAATTGATTTAAATTGACTTCCAGGTCGTTTTTTTATAAAGGGCATTTTCCCCTAACCATATTAAATGCATGCATGCATCATATCAAATTCTTAGAATTTATTAATAATTTCATTTAATATAATAAGACACTATAGGGCTGTTACTAATAAAATAAAAAAAAATCAATTAATTATCAATCAAGGTATTAACAAAACCAATCTTTCCACTGCAGAAGAAACAGAAACAGCTGAAGTGGCATTAGATGCATTTACATAGACAGCTTAAAGGGCACCTATTATGCCCTTTTTACAAGATGTAATATTGATCTTGGGTGTCCCCAGTGTCAAGTTTCAGCCCAAAATACCCAACAGATCATTTATTATAACAGCTGGAAAATGTCATTTTTTGGGGTGTGAGACTGACTTGGTTTAATGGGGATTAAAAAATGAGGAGTGGGTGGATTTTTAGCATTGTAGGGTGGTTGTGTTCACACACTGCCAACACACATTTATGTCCAAACACAGTGTAAAAGTGGATTTTGCATAACAGGTGCCCTTTAATGAAGCATGAATGCATTTACACTGCAAAATTATAACAGCATAAATAATGTTATGAGCTTGGTGTTTTACATCAGTTTAAAATATACAAATATGAAATGTTGGGATGAAAATGCAAAGATAAACTACTTTTAAATATGAAAGTAAGTGACTGTCTTAACAAGTGAGTCATTGAGGCATTCATTCAAACGATTCGTTCAGACAGCTGATTCATTCAACAAAGTGCCTGTCTTTATGAATGGACCAGTGAATCACGGACTCAAATGATTCATAAACGCTGAATCATTCAGTAATGAAACACCGTTGTTCTGTCATGATCTTTGTTTGGGACTAATTTTGTTAACCAAATTGAGCAAAAACTGTCAACATTGACAGTATTGTACTAAAATGTATATTAAGTACTCGTTTGAACTCTTATAAAATCGGTGTCAAATTTACATTTGTGGTTTTCAGGGAAAACGGCACTCTCTTGGTCGTGTCAAGTTGCTTAACTAGGCTATATGTTATAAATATAAAAACTAAGTTGCATTATTACCGCAGTATGTTTCTTCTGTGTGCAGTTGTTTATTTGTTTTGATTTCTCCACGAGATTGTTTCACATACAGACAGGCTGCATGAGCCTCAACTGGCACAAGCTTGTTACTGTTGATTATCCATTATCAATAGCTGTTCACACTGAATGAAATAAAATCAGAAGCATTCTTGCCATTCTCAGTGCCATCAAAATAAAAGTCCCGTCTTGAACACAACGGCCAAACAGAAAAACGTATTGGCCAATGCCGATATATCGGTCGACCACTAGTGTTAATGTCAAGCCCTGGTTGCCAGTATGTTCAAAACCTGTTTGAGTTTGAGTTTGACGTCGTCTAGTCCTCCGATCTGCTCCCAGCTGACGGGTTTGAAGTCAGTGGCTCCTATACTGCTCCTCAAACACGACGGCTGCACGATCCGCAGCGCCTGCATGAAGTGCTGCATCGACACCAGCTCACTCGCTCCCGCCTGAACAACATCAACAACATCTCAACAAGAGAGGACACAAGAGACTTCTGCTGCTAGAATGGATCTCAGTGACTGTACCTGCGACTGTCGCATGGCCTGCAGCGCTGCTTCTCTACTGAGTGCGCTCAGATCCGCCCCGACGTAGCCACAGGTCATTTCAGCGACAGCATTCAGATCCACTTCAGAGGAGAGCGGCATCTCTCGACACACATGCTTCAGGATACTGCGCCTCTGCAGCAGCGAGGGAGCGCCGACGATCACCTGCAGGACACGCCAGATCCATAAAACAC